AGGACTGCTGGCTCCCAATTGCTTGTCTGCATTTTTGATTGCCCCTAACCACTTCTGCTTGCCAGCCTGATCGCCCCCTAACCACTCTCCTGATAGCCTGATCAACACCTAACTGTTCCCCTGCCAGCCCGATTACCCCTAACTACTCTCCCCTGCCAGCCTGATAGCCCATAATTGTCCTCCCCTGCATGCCTGGTTGTCTTCAGTTGCCCTCCCCTACAGGCCTGGTCCCCCCCAACTGCCCTACCCTGCCAGCGCAATTACTGCCCTATCCTGCCATCCCAGTCACCCCTAATTGCCCTCCCCTGCCAGGCCTGGTTCTCCCCTGCCTGATTGCCCCTAACTGCTCTCCCCTGCAGGCCTGGTCCCCCCCAACTGCCTTCCTTTGCTGGCCTGGTTCCCCCCAACTGTCCTCCCTTGCAATCCTGCTCCCCTGCCAACTGCACTCCCCTGCCGACCATCTTGTGGTGACCATCTTGTGTCCCCATGAGGGCAGCCATCTTTGACCACATGGGAGTGGCCATCTTGTGTGTTGGAGTGATGGTCAATTTGCATATTACTTTTATCAGATAGGATATGTATAACCCATCGACACAGACAATAGTGTGCTGAAGGCCTGCGGAGGGGAAAGGAGCAGGTAGATGAGGTCAGTGGGAGAGGGGAGGGGACATCTATAATACTTTTAACAATAAAGATAAATTTTTTAAAAAGAATGGTAAAAAAGGAAAGATGATTAGGATGCCCACTTCCCCTCCTCCATCCTTCCAGAGCTGGACTATGAGCTTAATTATTCTCAAAGACAAAAGTGGCATTGTTCTGACTCTGTTGAAGAGATGGTGACACCATGGGATCCTGTATCTGCCCCTGCCCTCAGCACAGATAATGTGCCCAGCCCTCTAAATACTTTACATAAATCACCTCATTTTATTATAACAACTCTATGGACAAGTACCTACTGTTATTATCTCTCCATTTTATAAAAGAGGGAAGTGAGGCTTAGAGAAGTGGAGTGACAAAGCCAGTATGTGATGGAACTTTGACCCTTAAGTCTGAGCTCTTTAATTATTACCATACATGATGCTAAGCCCTGATTCTAGAAGTCAGAGAGGGTCCTCTAACATGCAGAGCCTGATGCCCACATCAAAATCACATAGTCAAGAAGTCAGGATACTGGTTATTCCTAGGGGTGATGGCTGGGAGGGTGAGTAGTGACTGGAAGGGGGCCAGGGTTAGGGAGCGGGTAGAAGAGGAGATTGGTGAATGGGGAGTAATACTCCATTTTGTGATCTAGGTAAAGATTACACAATTTCTTGATGTGGGTTTGTGAAAACTCATCAAGAGATACATAAAAGTGCAAAATAAGTACACTTTATGTACATATATGTATGTATGTGTGTGTGTGTGTATGTGTATATATATATATATATATATACAATATATATATATATATATATATATATATATATATATATATATATATATATATAAAGTTTCTTTATTGATTACAGAGAGGAAGGGAGGAGAGAGAGATAGAAACATCAATGATGAGAATCATTGATCGGCTGCCTTCTGCATGCCCCCTATTGGGGATCGAGCCCGCAACCCAGGCATGTGCCCTCAGCTGGAATCGAACCTGACTCTTCAGTCTGCAGACTGACACTCTATCCACTGAGCCAAGCTGGCTAGGGCTGAATATTTTATTTCAATAAGAGTATAATATACAAAGTACAATAGTGCTCTTTAATTCTTAGTCTTTTTGCTAGCTTCTAGTAGCGTTGACACCGGGAGAGTAATAACCTCTTGGAACACTTTACCCTTCATTATCACAGGATTACTAGGGATTTGGATCACTCAATTTCAGTATCTTATCCTTTCTTTAATTTTTTTTTAAATTTATGGATGAGAGAGAAAGGGAGTGGGAGAGAGAGAGAAAGAAATATTGATTTGTTGTTCCACTTATTTATGCACTCATTGTTTGATTGTTGTATGTGCCCTGACTGGGGATCACACGCGCAACTTTGGTGTATCAGGATGATATTCTAATCATTTGAGCTACCTGGCTAAGGTCTTGCTCCTCTTTTATCAAAAGCCTACCCAAGGAATTTCACTGAAAATAAGTTAATTGTATTGTACCTGAATTATCAAATGCATACACACTGTCAATTTTTATGATTTTAGTTAATATCACATTTTATAAGCTCTTCAAGGAAATAAATGTTAGAGATTGAAGCTCTGATTTGGAGGTGCAAAAATTAGCATAGCTAGAGTTAAAACAATGGTCCTTAACCCTTGTTTCATTAGAGCAATCCTGGGAGCATTTTAAAAATTCCAATACCTGGGTCCCACTCACATAGATCATGATTTAACTGGACTGGGGTGAGACTCTGTTATTAAATTATTTTAAAAAGGTCACCAAGCCAAAACCGGTTTGGCTCAGTGGATAGAGCATCAGCCTGAGGACTGGATGGTCCCAGGTTCGATTCCGGTCAAGGGCACGTACCTTGGTTGCGGGCACATCCCCAATAGGGGGCGTGCAGGAGGCAGTTGATCAATGTTTCTCTCTCATTGATGTTTCTAACTATCGCTCTCCTCTCTTCCTTCCTCTGTAAAAAAATCAATAAAATATATATTTTTAAAAATAAAAAGGTCACCAAGTGACTCTAATATGTAGCCATGATGAGAACCACTTAGTTAACGACAAAGCAAAATTTTAAAAATACCCTTTATATTCAAGATTACTGCAAGTCTCATTTCTCAAATCATCCAATAAATTAATTTTTTTTTTAAAGTTGAAAATTATTTCTCATTTGTTATTCTAGGGTAAAATAGTCAAGCTATTCTTTCTTATACCTTACTCTGGAACAACAACAACAAAAAAGTTTAACATCACAGAAGATTTCTACCAGTGTAATCATTTGGATTGGACCCCCTCCCAAAGGAAAATAATAGAAATACTGTGCATGGCGAAACATATTTTTGCCACCAGCAACACTTTTTTAAATTGATTTTTATTGATTAAGGTATTACATATGTGTGCATATCCCCAATTGCCCCCCCACCCCACTCCCATACATGCCCTCACCCTCTGCTGTCTCTGTCCATTGGTTATGCTTATCTGCATGCATACAACACCAGAAACACTTTTATCTAATTTCCTGAACAGGTGCCCTTATCAGCAATCTCTCTAGTACTATGCAGCAGAGATAATGGAAAAACAATTCAAATAATCCTGAATCTTGGTGGGGACAACTGTTTGCTGTTGACTAACTTGAAACTCATAATAGAATCCACATCTCCCCAATAATAATTTTTCTTTTTTGTTATTGTTCTTTTTATATTTGTGTGTATTCGTTACTGCAATAGTGTCTCTGCTAATGGAGTCTAAAAAAGAAATAAAAAATACACACAGTACAGAGAGCTGAGAGGTAAACATAAATCATCAAAAATGACCACATGTACTTGCTGTTGGCCTACATTACCACCTTCCAGCCAGCCAGCCTATCACTATATCTTCAGGTTTATCCACAAGCATCTTGTTTGTGCTCATAATCTTGAGAGACTTACTAAAGTAGATTTAATGACGATAGCAGTTTTCCCCTCTTATTTTTAAATATATATATTTTATTGATTTTTTTACAGAGAGGAAGAGAGAGGGATACAGAGATAGAAACATTGATGAGAGAGAATCATCGATCAGCTGCCTCTTGCATACCCCCTACTGGGGATGTGCCCGCAACCAAGGTACATGCCCTTGACCAGAATCGAACCCAAGACCTTTCAGTCCGCAGGCCGACGCTCTATCCACTAAGCCAAACCGGTTTCGGCTATTTTGTTTTTAAATTATTATTATTATTTCAGAGAGGAAGGGAGAGGAAAAGAGAAAGAAACATCAATGAGAGAGAATCACTGATCGGCTGCCTCCTGCATGCCCACTACTGGGGGTCGAGCCTACAACCTGGGTATGTGCCTTTGACCAGAATCAAACTCAGGACCCTTCAGTCCTCAGGCTGATGCTCTTTCCACTGAGCAAAGCCAGCCAGAGCCAGTTTCCCCTCTTAAATATAGTTTTACTTCTGAACTAACAAATCATTGTTTTTATTATCCATACAACTTATTCCAACATTTAAAATATACAAGAACAGGATGCTTTAGAAGAATCCTGAAGATTCAACTCCCTTTTATCTTCAACTCATATAGGTAGGTTACTCCAAAACCATTCTCCCACTCCACAAAATGATACAAATGAAAACATTCATAGCAGATGCCATCTAGAAGGATACTGTTGTATTCTCAGATATTTGTCCTGCTTAGAGGAGAATGCAAATCTAGTTTCAAAAAGTATTCTAAACTAAGTAATTCTTACATTTTAGATTTTCTTTTTGTTGCCTCTCCACATTTGATTCTAGAAGGTGGCTTTTTCTTTCTTTAACAATAAAAGGCTAATATCTCTGCCTTTTACTGCACTATCCTATATAATAAAAGGCTAATATTCAAATCAACCAAATGGCAGAACGACTGGTCACTGTGATGCACATGGACCACCAGGGGACAGGCACTCAATGCAGGAGCTGTCCCCTAGTGGTCAGTGTGCTCCCACAGGGGAAGCACCACTTGGCCAGAAGCTGGGCTCACAGCTGGCAAACACAGCGGTGGAGGCAGGAGCCTCTCCCATCTCCGCTACAGCGCTAAGGATGTTCGACTGCCTAAGCCAGTGGTCAGCAAACTGCGGCTCATGAGCCACATGCGGCTCACAAGCCGGGGTTTGCCGCTCTGTTGATTAATGAGTTTGCTGACCACTGGCCTAAGCTGTCAGTAGGGTCCTAAACTGCAAGAGGATGTAGGCCAGGCTGAGGGATCTCCCCAAGTGCATGAATCTCATGCACCAGGCCTCTAGTTTAAACATAAAAGCTGTTTTGGTTGCACAGAGAAAAAATGCATTCCCTACAAGGATATAATATCCAAGCAAAGAAATGAATAGGCCATAAAAAATGCACAATCACCTATATTTGTCCCTCTTCCTCTAGTGGGTGAGAATGATGTCAGAAGAGCATGGAAAGGAGACAAAAAATTAGTTGTATTCTTAGGAAATAAACTAATATAATAAGCATTTTCCTGATCTTCAGGCTGGAGAAGAGACAACCCTGCAACAGTGATGAATTCATTTGTTTCTAGCTGAACCCCCACAAGCACAATAACTGGAATCTCAGCTCATGCAGAGCTTTTTTCCTTCTTTAAGGCAGGATAGCAGTAGTTATGGGGGTGGGGAGTGGAGAGGACACTCAAGTCTCAGTGGTTGCTACAGCCACTAGTATTACATCTTGCCCTAGTCACTGCCTATAATCTTTCTTATCTAGAGCCAAAGTGAAATTCCTGAAGCTAGGGCTAGTATGTTCCTCTTCTATGATCTTTTCCTGTCACACCCGTGATCCTGCTCTGGGGCCTCCAACCGGCATGTGTACAGCAGAAGGAACAAGTAGCTGCTTCTATCCTTCACATGGTTCCCTAGAGGCTGAGTGGGAACCATATGAAGGACAGAAGTGAAGAGAGGAGTGACCTCGATACACTCCTCTCCTCTCTTCTGGAAAAGCCCCAGAAGATCTAAAGCAGCCAACCCTCTTCCAGAGAGAGCCATCCCTTTGCCTCCAGCCAAACTTCTTCCACTCATTCATAGATTTCTGCTCTTCTCCCTATGTACTGCATATGAATGATTTTCACCATCATGGCTTTCCGTGAATACCCATAAAACTAATTTGTTGAAAAATAGATTATACAATAGATTTTTTTTCTTTAAATTTCAGCTTTACTGAGGTATAATTGACAAAAGTGTAAAATATTTAAAGTGTACCATTGTGGTGATGTGATATACATATGCATTGTAAAAAGATTCTCCCCATCTGGTTAATTAATCCATCACTTCACATGTTTATTCTTTTTCTTTTTTTGATGAGAATATTTAAGATTTGCTCTTTTAGCAATTATACAACACACTAGAGGCCCAGTGCACAAATTCGAGCACCATTGGGGTCCCTCGGCCTGGCCTGTGGAATTGGGCCGAAACTGGCTCTCCAACATCCCCCAAGAGGCCCCAGATTGAGAGAGAGCACAGGCCAGGCCAAGGGACCCCACCAGTGCACAATCAGGGCCAGGGAGGGATGCGGGAGATTGGCCAGTTGGGGAGGGACCGCGGGAGAGCTCCAAGGCATGTCCAGCCCGTCTCACTCAGTCCTAATCAGCCGGACCTCAGTAGCAAGCTAACCTACTGATTGGAGTGTCTGTCCCCTGGCCGTCAGGGCACGACATAGAGACTAGTCGACCAATCAACTGTCTGCCCTCTGGTGGTCAGTGCACATCATAGTGAGTGGTTGAGTGGCCTTAGCATATCATTAGCATATTATGTTTTGATTAGTTGAATGGATGACTGGACGACTGGACACTTAGCTTATTAGGCTTTTATTAAATAGGATAGTTTATCAACTATAGTCATCATATTTTACATTAGATCATCAGACATTACTTTTTTATTGCTGAATGTTTGTTCTTAGAGTAGAATCTATATTTTATGCATAATCCTCTTAGCTCTGGGCCCGATGATTTATACATGACAGTCAATCAATGCTTGGTGAATGTATGAATGTACATATAAAGGAATGAGTGAATATAGCTAACCAAATTTCATATTTCTGTTATCCCAAGATTAAAGAGAAAGTTCTTCAGTGATTGACTTTATCTTCTACTCTTCTTTACATCAGGTTAACTTCTATTTTAAACAGTTGTCCAGATGCCATATCACTTCCTTTTTTTTTTTAAATATATATTTTATTAATTTTTCACAGAGAGGAAGGGAGAGGGACAGAGAGCTAGAAACATCAATGAAAGAGAAACATCGACCAGCTGCCTCCTGCACACCTGCCACTGGGGATGTGCCCGCAACCAAGGCACATGCCCTTCACTGGAATCGAACCTGGGACCCTTGAGTCCGCAGGCCGACGCTCTATCCACTGAGCCAAACTGGTTTCGGCCATATCACTTCCTTTGAAGAAAAGTCAAAGTGAGGATTTCAATTTGTTTGCTCTACAAGTAATTTCTTTTTCAAGTTTAAGCCTTCAAATTGGGAAGGAGCTCTTCAATCTCCTTTTATGTGAGGGTGAGAATGGGGAGATGAGAAAAGAGAAAAAAGTGTGGGAAATACTCCCTGAACAAACAAAATGGGAGGATGATCTAATACCTTTAAAATACCAGCCAAGTTTATATAACTACTTTTGCCTCTTGAAGAGAAAAAGCAAAACAAATCTGACTTAAATGAATGAAAGCTCTGGCAATAAAAAGCAGCCCAGGTAATCAGCAAATACATATACTCAACGAATTTTTTCTAAGGAAGAAAACCATTAAAATTATAATCACATTTCATCACTGTTCAACTTCATAAAGATATTCTTCATGTGGATTGCCACTCACTGGTCTCTTTAAGACAAAATCAGTCAAAACAATAAGTCCATCCAAATCCAGAGGACTGCACCACTGACTGAACAAAATAAATCTTGTAGAATACTATACAAGAAGCTGGCACATATTCTGTCAATGATGATGCTGCCTGCTGATAATGAGCTCACTGATGACTGTCAGCTGAGATCTGATGTCAGTGCTGCCCCTGCTTATCACACACTAGACAAAGAATATAACCTTTCTACCCTAAGTCTGTCATCTGCAAATGTTGACAATAAATGAGTGTTCATGTGAATTCATCAGTTAATGTTTTCAAGAACTAGAGCAATGAGCACCACTTCAGCTATTAGTGAGTCACAATAATGACTTCATGCCATTCCAGACTTCTCATCAATGCTGAATGAAGTGCAACTAGTTAAATCAATATAATAGTCAAATGAGATTTTAAAATAGTGATCACCCTATTTCTTGTGCCATGAAAGCAAAGTAAAGAAGACAGTTAAGGAGCTATGGCGATATATAATTGAGAGCCACAGGTTACTTGAAGAGAGAGCTTCTGTTGATGAAACTTCAACAAAATTTATGGAGTGCCTATTATGCAGTTAACATCCTGAAGTTGACAGAAACAAGATTTTCTCATCAAGGTTTGTAGAACCTAATTAGCCATAGCTAGCAAAGGCAGTTATTCTTATGGAAGATATATTTAATTTAAAAAAAAAGTAAATTTAAGTCATTCTGCAACTTTAGCCTGATTTCATGGGTAATTTGCTATAATTCAGCAACTATGCTGGAGGTCAGATGAGATAAATAAAATTATTAACATCTCATGAAATGTAGTTAAGATGATCTAGCTGATTCTCCAGCCAAGTAATTACACTATTTAGCTTAACATTATCAGTAGCTAGGAGTATCAGGTCTATGTATATGGGGGGGGGGGGGGGAGGTACAGTGTCAGCACAAATGCTAAGCAGTTGTCACAGAAAAAAGGATACTACTGGCCAGAAGAAGAAAAAGAATTCCCATTCCTACCCCTGGCAAAAACAATCATATTCTCTTTTGAGGGAGGCTTACTCAAGCTTCCAGGATACAGCACTTTTCTATTTTTTTATAGATATGCTTTGAGGGGAGATTCTTATGCATACAAATATACCATACTGTTGTATATACATTCATTCTAAGTCACTTATTTGCCTTTCCAGATGTTTTGCTGAGTGAGGTCAAATAGTGAAATAATAGGCACTATTCCAGTTGCATTTAAAAGCCAAGGAGCTTTTACTTAATCACCAAAGACTGTATAAAATTATATACCTACGTACATTGGAATCACTAAAGATTTCTGATTCTTCACATTCACAGCAAAGTAATGCTGCTGATTCACTGTCTTCCAAATGAGAGCTCTGTAATACAAATAAGACTGTTTCAGAGATCCAGACAAATGGGCGACAAGGATGATGGAAAAAGCCAGCAGAAATCACTGATTCAGTGTTAGCTCATAGGTGAGAAGCTGCCATTCTGATTAGCAATCACTATTTTGGAAAGAAAAAGCCAACAGGTGATTGTTTAGGTGATTGAAAAGTTGATTATGTTTGATTAGTTGGCTGAAGCATTTCTGTGGTTTCCAATTTATAGGCAATGGGATGTTCTTCTGTAAAGATGGTGCTACTAACTCTTCGTAGTATGTACTCTGGACTCTTCTCAGAATGGTAGGATTGTGTTAATTTATCCTCATATTTAAAGGTACATATTTAATATGACTATTTAAGAGACAGACTTTAAAATATAATATAGTACATGATTGGGGGATGATCTAACTACTAGCTTCATTAGCCCTCTGCTAGCAAGTGTTTATAAGATGAGCCAAAAGACATGCCCTATTCAAGTCTCTCTGACAGATTCCAAAAAAACAAACAAAAACAATTTAAAACCTTTCTTCCACTCTCCAATCTCTTTTTCAAAATCTATTTGGAAGAGTGATAAGGAAAGCAGAACAATACAGTGAAACAACTAGCTGGTAACACAAGAGTATTTTCCCCTTCTGACTAACAATACCACACACACAAAAAAGAGAAAAAGCTCCAACTGTGACCCAATAAGTTCTATTCAAATGCTTGCTGTTTAGGAAACAGCTGCTAGAAACTGAGCTATCCCTACATGGAGATATATATGCTTCTATAATCAAAATTTCTCACTACCACATGATCTGGTAATCCCACCTCTGGGTATAAATCCAAAAGCATTGAAATCAGAATCTCAAAGAGATATCTGCCCTCCCATATTCATTGCAGCATTTTTCACAAGTGCCAAGTTATGGAAACAACCCAAATGCCTATTGATAGACAAATGGATAAAGAAAATGTGGTATCTGCATACCATGAAATATTATTCAGCCTAAAAAAAAAAAAAAAGAAGAAGAAGAAGGAAATCCTGCCATATATGAGAACATGGATGATCCTGGAGGAAATTATACTCAGTAAAATCATTAAGCGAGCCACAGAACAAATACTGCATGATTCTATTCTTTAAAGTATTCATAATAAACTTACAATAGCAGACTAGAATGGTGGTTGAGGGAGAGGAGGAAATGGGGCTTGTTGTTTAACGGGAATAAAGTTTCAATTATGCAAAATGAGTAAGAGATCTGTTGTACAGCTTAGTCCCTACAATACTCTATTGTACACGAAAATTTTTTGTTAAGAAGATAGATTTCATGTTAAATATTCTTACCACAGATCAAACAAAAACAAACCCTAAAGGGCACAAGGAAACTTTTGGAAGTGACAAATATGTTGTTACCTCGATTATAGTGATGGCTTCACAGGTGTATTTATATGTCCAAATTTATCAAATTAAATACATTAACTATGTGCAGTTTTTTGTGGGGTTTTTTTTTTTTGTGTATATCATTTATATCTCAATAAGCTGTTAAACAAAATCTCACTACCAGTGGCTGAAACTGAATCATCTATAACTACTCTATGGTTATGCTAGTTGACTCCTACTTTGACTTTTCAAAGCTGGGGCTGTTTCAACCTGCAGAACACCTATAGATGTTAATTAAGAGTTTGAGAGTGCAAATAAACTTAAATGAAAGAAAGTAAAGCTCAGAATTACTATTTCTGGAAATTGCCTTCTTTTGGTTTATTTCCTGCTTACTTTTTTCCATCTGCTATCCTTTGCCTATTTTTGTTTTTTCTTCTTACAACCACGTCTCATCTTTCATTATCCCTCCCCTCTTCCTCTTTTAGGAAACAAACAAACAAACAACAACAACAACAACAACAACACAAGCATTTAAAATCACTTTCTAAATCCTGCAAATGCATTGTCTTTTATTTCTTACTCCCTTACATTTAGGAGGGAAAAATTTTACACTCATTTGTCTTTTTACTTTTAGCCAGTCTAAAAAATACTTGAAGACTTCTAAAAGTCACATTATAAAAGCTAAAGGCTCAATAAATAACAAATAAAATATTCGAAGGAATTATAAGGGTAGAAATCAAAGCTGCTTTCAATTCTCCCAAATTCTTATATTACAAAAGATAACAGATAATACTAAACAGATCAAAAGTGAAATGTCACTGCCACCGCATATACAAACTGAAAAGATAGAAAAATACAAGGTAATTAATCCAAATTAGTTAAGATTTTAAAGTTTTCGTTCTTATAAATATTTCATGTTTACACTAGTTTTTTGAAAATGATCTTTCAAGAAAGAGGTCCTATAATGACACTTGCATTCTTACAGTTATTTAAAAACTTTACTGCATACTTATTAATTGAAATTCAATTAATTAATATACAAGATATCAAGTTAAGTGTGCTGGTTGCATTAAATATAATTGCTCCTCTGGCCACCATCTACCATTTGTTGGTTTTACCTACACTAGTTGCTGTATTCTTTCTGATCCACACTGTTTGAGAGTTAACACCGGTCTCACTTCACTGGATCATTTGATGTTAATGTTCAGAGGACTTTAGAAATTTTTTTTAAAATTTTAAAATAAAAATAAAATGATCAAAGTAATTGCTTCAGGGAACAAGTATTTACTTGCAACTAACATTTCGTTCTAAATTAAATTCTAAACATCCTAATGGAAGTCAAATGATATTTCAAGATCTTTCCTATGTCTTCTGAGGTCCTGGGTAATTCCAGTTCCTGAATTGTTCCTGGGTTCTGAAGAATAAACTGTCTTGCTTATGACTATAATGGTCTTATTCCAAGAATTAATCCTTAGGAATTATATTATTAATATAATTTAGCATATTAAGTCAGCATATTCTTGAGAAAAATGAGATTATCTAAATAGATGCTAAAAGGTATTTGGTATGTCAAAATTTATGACAAAGATTTTACCTAGACAGGAATCAGGAAGACCTGTGGGAGGAGCTCTCAAACACCATGTCCTCAGGAAACCCTACAGAAAGAACTCTATGTTCACAACAGAGCTCTATGGCTGTACAGCCCCTCTCCTTAACTTCCCTTTCCCCTTGGTAAAGGGTTCCCCCCCTTCTTGTGGAGTGTGTGCACAGGACTTGCCATGTCTGCACCTACAGGAATGCAATCCTTTCTTTTACTTCTGAGAAAAACCGTTTTGGTGAAGGAACACCTACTTGACTTTGTTTTATGGTCAACAGATAAAAATGAACAGTCAATTTTTTGTTTCAAACATTTTTAGTAAGCTAAGAATATATACAGTACTTCTCAGGTTGGTGGACCTTTACCTCAACATTGAATTTCATATTGTGGAAACTCCTCCAATATTTGTTCTAGCATGATGATTGATGGTGATCATACCCAGTTTGTAGTACAGATATCAATTTCCTTTTCTTTCTCTCCCCTCTTTCCTAACCTCCCTCCCTTTCTTTTATCATGTCCCTTCAGCCACTGCAGTAGAAATTTTGAAGAGAATTAAGTTAAACTCATATTCTAGCATTGAAAGTTCCAAGACCAAATCTTAACTAAACTAAATTGAGTTCATATTCTGGCCCTGCCACTTACTAGCCATGTGGTTTTGAACCTATTACCTAATCTCTCTGAGCTCAATTTCCTCATCTATGAAAATGGGCACAACAATAACATCTATCCAATAGAGTCACTGGGAAGACTGTATGAATGATAATGTAAGAAAAGCCCTTAGTTCCTGTTACTTTTTGTACTTACCAATAAAAAATAAATAAAAATAAAAAAGAAAGAAAGAAAAGCACTTAGCATGACTTAACTACCGATGTTGCTACTATTACTGTTGTTCCTAACAACAATAAATATTATTATAGTAATAATAATCTTCTTCCTACATGTAAAAGAATTACACACTTAGATTACATTTTCTTTCAAAGAAACGTCTGTCATCTAGGAAAATTTTGCTTCTACAAAATTATTAAGTTTTTCATTTCCAAATAAAGACAAATTTGTATTCCCTATATAACCCTGGAGTATTGAGCTCATGGAGACTCATTCATTAGCATTTATTGTACCCCCACTATGTACTAAGCACTTTTCTGGGTGCTGAATTAGTTACAGTAAAACACCAAACCAAAGGGAAAGATAACTAAACAGATTCCAAAAATAGTGTTTTGTTTTTGCTTTTTATGGCTACCCAAAACCCACAAATATAAGGATATGGCTCTGTGGCCAAGTACTAGTATACCCCTTTGGACAAGTATTGTTTGGAGAAAAATATAGGCTAAGGTTGTTGGTAAGAAAAACACATCCATGTATAACAAAAAGTTCCAAGAACAGCTTCTAAACAAGAATTACAGTAATAAAACATTGTAATCTTTATATAAAATATATGGTGCAAGGACTCATGTACTAAGAAGGATGTTTTGAAAAGTGTTAAAATCTAACTTCTGCAGTTACCTAACAACTTGTAAGCAGAAGTCTTAAGAAATAATCCCACAAGAGTCAAACCCTGTTGTAACTGTTTAGTCTCTCTTATTATATTCTTGTTTTAGGTTAGTGCTTTTAAGAAACAGAAAACATTGAGTCTTGCATTTCTTTTGTCTTCCTTTTTTCTCCATCTTTTCTGTCTACAACTGTTTTTGGGAAGTTCTAACTAAGTGAGTACATTGTAGTTGTTCTGAAAGAAACAAGCGATTTAGTAAATGTACTGACTGACCTCAAACAATGAATGCATGTGTACCCTAAAGCCTGATCACCACTTTGGGACTAAGATCTTTTAACCCTTTAAAGGCAAAGACAAGAAGTAGGTCTTATTTATTCTGACACTTAAGTGTAACTGGATTGACAAAGCAATGTCATAGCCTAGGGATGACCTTCCTGAGAAAAATCTCTCTGCAGTCCCTAACTCCAAGTGACACATTAAAAATTTTTTCTTTTTAAAATTATTACGTCCCCATAACTTACATTTTTTATAACTCAAAGTTTGTACCTTTT